CTACCCCCTGATGCCGTGGCTGATGAAGCCCTACACCGGCCACCTGGATGCGAGCAAGGAGCAGTTTAATGCTCACCTTAACCGGGCTCGCAGCCAGGTGGAATGTGCATTCGGACGTTTAAAAGGGAGATTCCGGTGCTTGCTCACACGGCTAGACATGGGGGAGCGCAACATCCCTGAGGTGGTGGCCGCGTGTTGCGTTCTCCATAACCTGGTGGAGAGGAAAGGGGAGGCCTTCCTACCAGGGTGGGGTACAGGTGCTGATGGTCAGGAGAGGCGCTTTGCCCAGCCCCGGACAGCTACCATCCGCCAGGTTCACCGGTCTGCTGTTTGCATATGGGAGGCCCTACGGGAGCAATTCTCAATTGGAGGCCACTGACTCTACTGAGGGGCTTCTGCCTGGGGACTGGGCCCTGGCCCAATAAAAGCTTCCCTCTGCAACCCATCTCCTGACCCTGTTTGTAGAAATAATAAACACCAGGGTTTGTCTCAAAAGAATAAGTTCTGTTTTATTTTTATAAATATCAGTCACTGAAAAATTGTATAACTGTTGCAAACATAAAAAAGCTTTTGTTGATTTTTGATGCAGAAAATATACTTTCAAGACAAACTATGTACAATAAACATTTTCTTTAACACAATCCTTGTGTGACAGGGTGCCTGCCCTGCACTGGCCCTTTAAGACCAGGACTCAGGCCCTGAGCCAGGGCTAGAAAGAAAGAGGCCAGCCGGAGCGGTTTAGGGTCAGTGAGAGCCCAGCTGGCAACTATCTAGGGCAGCACAATTGGCTTGTGGAAGCCAGCTGAACCCATTAGGGGAGTGAGAACCCAGGTGGCAGGTATATATAGAGAAGCACAGGTTGCTTGGGGGAAGGCCAGTGGAGGGCTGACTGCAGAGGAAGCAGGAGTCCCTTGGAGGGAGACTGCCTGCCGAGGGGATGCCGGCCTGGAGATCGCAGCCAGCTGGACAAGTCCAGGAGAAGGAAGCCTGGGGATCCAGGTAGGAAGTGGCCCAGGGCAGGAGCGGGAGCCACCCCTCCTGGCCCGAGAACCAGTTATAAACTGC